CGTCCGGCGGGGGGGATCGGGGAGCGCGGCCCACGCACCGGCCGCGGGCGGGGAGGCGGCCGCAGGGTTAACACCTGCGGCTGGTGATGGTTTTGCACTGTGTAGGGGACGGTGTCTCCTTGCAGGGCATATAGCGTCACTGCAGGGCTGTTGCTTGTGTTTCCTCCCCTGCTCTGAAGCGGCTTTTGTCAGTAACCGTGTGCCCTCCGCTCCTTTGCCTTTCCCCCTGCACTACAGGTATTAAAGATGGGCCGTCGAGCCCGCCAGGAGTTCTTTCCAGACGAAAATCTCAGAAGGAAGAATTCCCCGCCTGCTTACCTTGGAGAGGTGGGTGTCCTGTCAGGAGAACCTGTCTGTAATCCTGCTGGTGTCCCCACTGGAGGATTCTTCATTTCTTCTGAGATTCTTTCCCGTATGGTGCGCTCTGTCCTTTAAAGTTTGTCCTTAGAGTTGGGACCTCTGTGAGTGTGCTGTCCCTTTACTGGTGTTGCCTTCTGCATGATGTGTAGTTTTCACACAGGGTTGTATCTGAGGCTGTGGTTTCTCACATGTGAGGTATGGAGAGTAGCATCCAACAGAACTTGGGGCCTCTCCCTCCTGTACATGCTTATCTTCCATGGGAATTAAAATATGAACAGGCACATAATTTTGTGACCAGTTTTGCTGCCATCTGTGGTAGCAAGACAAAGTACAGGTAAGCAGATGCATTACTTTTGCACTTTGCTTTTGCTAGAGCCAGAGTACAGTATCTGAGATGATCAGTATCAAGTTTGTATAGTGACGCTCTTTTTCCTTTCCTCCATGCACAGGCTACAGAGGTCATGCTAGGAGCCAGCTTTGCAGCATCTGAGACTTTGTCTTGAGGGTAATAACATGCAAACTCAGTTCCCACTTGGCTTTGGAGAAAAACTTTTGTTCAGTCTGTTTTGTCAGTACACCTTCAAAATGTAGAAGAATGTCTGGAACCCCTGTTTCACAGGAGAGTCAGGCAACATCCTCTAATACCCAGAAAGATGAATTCTGGACCCTTTTGATTCACTTTCTTGCTTACCACTGCAGAATACTCAAATTCTACTGGGCAGTTTGTTCTCTGATGTTAGCATGGCTTCTCCACAGGCATCTCCTGCTGGAAGGAGCACCTGTCAAGAAATGCCTTACAGATTTTTCTCCCTGACACCTTCAGATGGACAAAAGGGTCGTCAGACTTCCGTCTTATTGATGGCGATACTTGTTTCAATGAGATGATACTTAGCTTTTTTGCAATGCCAGTAGTGGTCTCCAGTATACCGTGTCCTCAGCGTCTTTAAATTGCGAAACTGCTTTGCCCTGCTTGCCACCCTGGCAACAGCTGTGCTTCAAGCTACTGTGCTCTGAGCCCTGGGACTTTCTGTCTTGGGAGTGGCTACTCTCTGCTTTTCTGTGCCGTGACAAAACTCTCCTGTTACACTGAGTAGTTGTGTCCCAGCCATCTATGCCAAGATGGTTTTGTGGGGGGTTATTTCCTTGGAGTCCCTGCAGTTCTGTTGAAAATACACTGTTATGGCTTAGCTTACAATAACACCTCATAGAACAGGCTTTTTTTTTGCTGGAGAAAGTATGCTCTTTTCTCTTGATAGGCATAATGGAGAATCATCTCCCACCTATGCGTTCTCCCTTTGCCGGGTATGCTGTAGGAATTCAGGAGGGATTCCGTGAGGGAGTTTGGAGAAGGCATAATTTAAGTAATTGAAGTAACCGTGGGCCTCATAGGTAAAGAAAGTCTTAAAGAAACCAGCTGGTGATTTAAGTGGGTGTAATCATTGGTTAGCCTCCAGATTAGGGTGGCTCACTGTCAGATTGTTCTCTTACTGGAACTGGCTGTCCTAGTTCATGGACTGATTCCCTGGTTAGGAAGAGACCAGGGTGTGATGTAGGGGTATGGCTGACTGACTGTAACTAACTGCAGTTGTACTTGGTGTGTCTTGCATCATAGCCACTATAACAGCTGGGAAGAGATTGTAAAGGCTCCAGTCCTTGGGCACCCCTGGAGAGGACTGAGAAGTAGTTACAGTCTTCTGTGTGAAAGCAGTGAGCTTTTCAGCAGCAGAAGGGTGAGGCCTTCCACGCCTTACAAGATTCAAATATGTTATTACTGGATCTTAACCACCAGGAAGAACCGTTTGTGTCAATAGTCTCCCCTCAGACAGTTCTTTGTTGCTAAATGTTGCTGTTAACTGAAAACCTTGGAGCTACTGGAGAAGAGACAAAATCCACTATAAATGATCTTCAGTGTTTTCCTTTGATCCAGAATTGGAGGGTTCTCATACACGATCATATTTGATACCAAAGTGAGCATTTAATAGAACTAATATTGTTTTTCCCTTCACCCTAGATTGGCAATCACTTTTACTTTTCTGGAAGCCTGGCCTTGGCTTGCCTCCAAGTGGTGGGGTCAGCTGTTACAATGGATGTCTCATTCAGCCATCTGGTCATCTTGAAACCTTTTCAAGGAACTTTCCCAAAAGAAACAATTTATTTGCAAAATAAAAAAATAAAAAAACCCAACAGTACTTTTTTCTGGAACTGGCAGTAGTAGAGGAGGCCCCATGTAATTAATGGAGGTTTATTGCTGATTCTGAAGACAAAGAGGTTTGTCTTAAACCTTTGCTATGTTCACACCTTCATGTGCAGTTTCTCATTCAGGATGGTGATTCTGCCCTCAGTAATTCCTCAGGGATTTAAAACTGTTTTAAGATTTGCCTTGACTTTTTTTTAATTCCATTTCAATCCACCCAGTTTCCACCCAACTCAAATTTCTGGTTTGAACATATCATTTGTGCTATTGTTTTGGTCTTTTCATGACACTAAGAACCGTCCATGAAGTGCTTTCATGTCAGAGCAGCTTGCTTGAAGGAAGCAAAAAGTACCTGTCTATCCATGTTTCAACATTTGGGCTTGTTACAAGGAAATTCACTTCGAGGGGTGAATAACACATCTAACATAATTAAAAAGATCTTTGTTTTGAAGTCAATAGGCAAATCATCTGACTTGGAGCATAGATTTTTATCAGATCACTGCTGATCTCTTCTTGACCTGGACTCTGTCTTCCAAAAGAGACTTCAAACAATGGTACATCTCCTCAACTGTGTGTCTTCTCTCACAAATGTGTTGTTAAAACCTCCTTCCCTCGGGCACAACTGCAATCTCTTGTGCCTTGTAGCCTAATTTACTTACCCAAGCTGTATGAAAACAGTATGATATCTTAGTATCTTTTCAGTGCCTGTTGTGTGTATGTATCTCTCACGATAAGTTCCTTAACTACAGTGGTGTATCTGTAATTCCTCTGCCTCAGTCTCTCATAATTCCCATTCCTGTGTGGAAGTGTCTGCATTACCTTCAAATTTAGAACTGTCTTCTCAAGGGGCTCACTAGGGTCGCAAAGCTCGCAGTCTGCCATCTGACATGCAGACCTTCCCTGCCGTTTCAGAAGTGCAAGTGCTAACAAACTACACAGCAGCTATGTATTATTTCATGAAGCAAGAAGGAACATGATTATTTGCTGTAATTGGCGCAGTCAGCATCCTCCTGCAGCAACGGCTGTGCTCGTTCCTGGCCTTTAGAGCTCCTTGGCAAATCGGCAGGCACTTCTTGGGCACCCAGGGGAATATGCCGTAAATGGGAATTCCTAGAGATAAATCTGCTTGCTGCATGCCAGAACGCCGCATTTCAAACATTCATTTTCAGAGGGGTAATGTATCCATTTTTCCATTGGGAGGCCTTTCCCATCCCCTGGCTTGATGTGTTACTTTTTACTCATCTTGATGCTGTCAAGTTTCTGACAAAATGGGACAAACTCAAGCTGGTCATGTTATTTGTATAATGGGAGGGGCAGATCATATAATGAGATCTGTTGAAGATCTTTGCGGTCCCATCCTACCAAGACTTCTGGACACTTCTCTAGAATAAAAGTCAAACCTTTTTCCTGGCTCTAACATCGCTACATCCAACAGCCTGACTGCTGGCTTGGTGACATCCACCAAAAGAAGCTGTTTGGCCAGGTTTGGAGCTCTTGAGGAGATTGATTTGGAAAACTGAGCGGAAAAGCCCTTTTTTTAAAATAGATCAGCAATTTTTTCCTTTTCTGTGTCTCAGCAAGAACGAACTCTTTGCTGTTGCATAAGCAATCAGTATGCAAAAATATTGTAATGTTATCCTGCTTCCACAGTCTGTTTTCTCTTCATCCTACAGCGAGGGGATTCCCTTGGGACATTGTTCAAGACTTCCCTGGTTTCTGTCTCTTACAGTCTCATTATGATGTTGTTGGTGTCTCTCTGGCAGCACTTTGTAGATCCTTTGAGTGGAGACTGCTTTAATAGGCAGTATGTCAACCTAAAGCATGAGGGTTTTCCAGGCTGTGTTGAGAATATCTCCACACAGGTAAGACAGGATCACTTTCATTTTATATCAGGGTTTGCCTGAAAATCATCCAAGTTCCTTACTGGTTCTCTTCCCCACGTTTCACCAAAACCTGGGGAAAGGCTCTGTGCTTCCACTTCTGAAAGTATGTTCTTGTCTTGTTGTCCTACCTGATATTTGTAAGCTTGTGTATGTAGTTGTGGTCCTTGGGTGATAATTGAACATGAGCATTTCTGTGCTGTAAAAAATACCTTATTCAGGGTAGATTCGTGTAGACAGACAAAAGCTTGAGCCACTTCCACTGCATATTGGAAAGATGTTCCCATAGATGAATTTTTGCAAAGCAGCTGTTTGGACTTCCACCACCCAGCTTACAAACACTCCTGGCAGTGATTCTTTAGGCTGACATCCAGGCATCGTTTAAATAGGACTCAGTTATCTAAACCAAGTGAATAAACAACTGCAAATAAATTGCTGAGGGTGAAATCTTTGTGGAAGATTGCTCAAAGAAGTGGTTTTGTAATTGGTTTTCCAACATGTGTTGTCCAGCTATATTTCCTTCTGTGCTGCTGTGAGTCCTGTACCACTTGGGCTCTGTACATCCAGAGAAGCTTAGGTCATGTTGGGCCCCACAGAAGCCTTTCTGCTCTATGGTGTGGGAACAAACGGGTTGCTGGCTGACAGATACTTCCAACAGATTTTACCAGTTGGGTGAATCTGGTTTCATTTTTGCTGCTCACAGATACGGATACTTCTGTACCCCAGCTGCCCTAACCTGCATGTTGTCTATCTCTGCTCCTGTTGTGGTAAGACTGTAAGACCAGATGACTAAGTGGACTCAGATGCCAAACCACTTTAATCAGAGATATATGAAATTTATTAATCACATGTTCTGTGTTCCACAGGAGAGATGATGTAGTCCAGAAGAAGTC